GATCACGCTGACGTGCTACGGACGTGTGACTGACGGAGGTTGGACGGAGGGACTGTGAGACGCGAGGGAGGAAACTGCTGGTATTAACCAGGTTGCGACTAGGGAATACAATCAAAGTACACTACTTATATAGGGAAAATGGATATGGGATCGGACTGAGTTGGCTACTACATAAGGAAAGTGGATGATCGAGAATAGGAGAATGGATGAATCATGGCTAGCATGGAGAGGCCGACACAGATGATGGGCATCAGTCGAGATGAGCGCTAAAGGAGGGATATCGTAACATATACTCAGTTACTCACTTCAGACTCCAGCTCTCATAGCCGCTCTGTCTGATACATTGAGATGGCAAAACTCACTGAGCAGGTGTCTCATTTGTTCCCAAACTTGCCACATTTCACAATATATACCAAGATTATTTCCATATTTTATAGCTTTTCTACTTTTTGACTTGTGGCAAGTAGAAAAGCATAAAAAAGCACACAAGCACAACATGAACTTCCTGATAAAACAAGCTTTGTCAAGACAGATATAAGCAGGAATACAGATATAAGCAGACCAATCTTCCATGTTTGTATAGCCTATTGTGTCCTGCCAATAAAGAATATGAGTTGGAGACTCAGCTTTATCAAACAAGGTCCATTCCAAAACCACTCTACATGGTGTACAAATGGTTTCAATGACCACTGATGACCAGTGGTTGACCACTGATGACTACTGAAGACTACATCTCATTATTTATCTAAATATTCCAACCAAATAACATTGTTCCATTTATTTGGAAGTTATCTGTTTATATGACTTAAATATAGGATCTAATAATTGACCTGCTTATCTTGTAAATACTTTTTAAATAAAGGGTGTTGATTTATTTAATAGACACTCATCAAATATACTATCTCATATATTCAACATAAATTGACTGTTTTTATTTGCTGACTTATAATACCAAATATCTTCTGAATAATTTGTTGTTGCATATCTGCCATGTGATGTAAATAAAATACTACATAAGTACCACATAAATGACACATGTTTATTTGGTACTGCATCCTGCATATAAAGCAATTATAGAGGAATTTGTGCAAGAGATAACAGGTACACATCATTGAGGTCCGTGCACCACTCCAAGGGGAATACCCTGGGTGGGATTTGTCAAAACTGCTGAGATATCCCTGGGATCTAAAGTGCACAGATTTGCATCTAGATCACCCTGGGCAGGAAGTCACCTCCACTGGAAATTGATAACGCGGACAGTGTGCCGGACTGTTGGGCAGTATCTCATTGTTCTGGGCGGCTTGGGGCCCATGTGACATGATGTGACCACCGTGATCTCCCATGCCCAATCCCCTTCCCACTTGCTGTGTCCCCACCCCAAGCCCTGCCCCTGCCGCCGTGCCACTGTCTGGTATTCCCCGCCCCTGCTGCTGTACTGTCAGCCACCGCATGTGCCTCTGCCACCATGCCAGTGACCAGTACTGCCACAGCGACTGCCACTTTGAGTGCTGTGTGGCGTTCTCATGGCTTGATGCACTTTAAGCGCCCATAGCATTGACAATGACTGTGCACGTTACGGCACGTATGACGGAGCACACATGACAAACCACGCATGCACGACGGCGCACCGGTGCACATTGAGCTGCACACGATGCCGCCCGCCACGCCGCTGATGACACAGCCGCACCAGATGCAGCGTGCATCCAGGGCACTTGGGTTCGGGTTTGACGCGGGCCAGCTGGGCGATCAGCGTGCCACCAGGCAAGGCGTGGAACGGGGGTGTGCAACTCGGCGTGCCAATGTCGATGGACAACATCGGGTGGCAACAATGAGTGGTGGCACTCATAGCAGCAGCTGCACATGGCCCGCAACGAGATACATACGTCATGGCGGGTGGCTTGTCACACTGAATCACACTGGCCAGAAGGTCCTGGGGGAGAGTTCGCCCCAGAGTCTGCCCAATGGTCTGCCCAATGGTCTGAGGCCCGAATTTCCAACGGACGGGATGCCCTCACCCTGGGAATTCCGAATGACCAAATTTTCCGGGTTGGTACAATTGGACTAGAGTAAATGATATTTAAACCCAATATTTTTGGTTTTTCTCTTGATTACCCTATAAAATTTGGTGATCTTTCAGAATAATTTATCTAACTATTTAATTCCCTTAGTGCTAGCTGGAACAGGCATATAGTATTGTACTAATAAAGAGTGGCATTGGAAGAAATTACTTGATTGGTGTATGATCAACTAATTATAACCAATCTGAGAATTACAATAATTTTACAATTCTAAAGGGGATAATCAAAGTAAATCCACCTTGATACTCTTAGTATTATCAACATAAAAAGAATATCAAGTTCTAAAGCCCAAATCAGTAGTGTATCTTAAAAGTTGGAGTCGATGATAGCAACTCCCTAGTGTACCCCCGAAATCTAAGATAATATATATATAAAGTTGGGGCATCCTACTTCTTCACGGTTGCTTTAGCTGTCTTGCCTCTTTTTGCTGCCTCTAGGTCTTTTTTCCTAAGCCGCACACTGGTTGGAGTGATCTCTATAAGTTCATCATCACCCATATAGGCCAGGGACTCTTCTAGACCCATAATTCTGGGACTGGCCAGTACAATCTTTTCGTCCGCGGCGGCGGCACGGATGTTGGTGAGCTGTTTTTTGATACACGGGTTCAAATAGAGGTCCGTGGTCTTGGAAGATTCACCGATGACCATGCCGGGGTATACTGTACAGTCAAAACAAGTGAGAACGAGAATGAAGCGGACGACAGCTGACACTCGTACCTTGTGTTTGTGGATGGATGAAGAGAGTTCCGCGGGCCTGGAGAGGGGCCATCGAATACCCAGAAGATTCGCCAGACGCCATCGAGATAAGCGCTCCATTTCGGCCAGTATCAATAGCCCCTTTGTATTCCTCATAGCCTTTGAAGATATGGTTGATCGTCCTGTAAAATCGCAGTCAATCAAACATCATCAGCCACAACCGTAAATCAACGCACCCTTGTCCGTGAGTATCGTTTCCAAACTCGCCGGCCATGTAGCCAATCAAGCCGCGGGCAGGGACGTCCATGACGATCCTCACCCAGCCCTCCTCCGGGTCGCCGGACTCGTAGCTCTTCATATCCCCCTTGCGCATCGTCAGCTTCTGCACGACGCCGCCCGCGTACTCCTCGCGCACGACGACCGTGCACTCCTCGATGGGCTCGAGCCAGACGCCACGCTCCTTGCCCTCCGGGTTCTTCGCCGGGCACGGGATCATGACGGCCTTGGGGGGCCCGACGGACAGCTCGAAGCCTTCGCGGCGCAGCGTCTCAAGCAGCACCCCGAGATGCAGGACGCCGCGCCCGCGCAGCTCGAGGGACTCGGAGGTGGGGCCGGGGAGGACGGTCAGCGCGACGTTCGTTTCGGCTTCTTTGTAGATGCGTTCGCGGATGACCTGGGATGTGAGCTTGGTGCCTTCGCGTCCACCCAACGGGGAGTCGTTCGCGTGCACATGGATAGAGATGGTGGGAGGATCAATGGGCGTAGTCTGCGCGAATCTTAGTACATACTAGAGGCAAATTAAGAACGGATTCAACATACCGGAAGTGCCTGAGGGCCTTCTGGGCCCCATCCCTCGGGATGGACAAGCGTCACATTGACACCACCGCCACCACCCGTACCGTTGTTGACACATTTCACGCCGGCAATGCTGATGATTTCTCCTGCTCCCGCGGCGTCCTTTTCCACTCTGTCGAGTCCTCTGCGGCCGAAAATCTTCTTCACCTTGCCTTCGCCGACCTTTTGTCCCTCGGAGTTGAGAGCCAGGAGTGTATCCCCGATGCGAAGAGTGCCGGATTGAATGCGTCCAAGGTAGAGCATACCGACGTAGGGATCCGCCTCAATTTGGACAGTCAACATCGAGAAGGGTCCCGAGCGCGAGAGATGTACAGGCGCGGGGACGTGGGACATGATGAGCTCGAATAGCGGAGTCATACTCGTAGACGTGGGGACCAGAGACGGGTTGAGAGAACCAGAGGCAGTCGGTAATGCTGGTGGATCCGGCTGAGCCCAGCCTTGTTTTGCAGAGGCGTAGAGTAGGGGATAGTCTGCCTGTTCATCGCTGGCACCGAGAGTCGCAAAGAGGTCGAAGAGGTCGTTTTCAACCTGTACTGGACGCGACGTCGGCCTGTCGGCTTTGTTCAATACAACGAGGGGCCTAAAGCAAGTCAATTTCAATAATGGACGGAGTATTATAGGGACTCACTTGAGACCACGCGCAAGCGCTTTGGACAACACGAATCGGGTTTGCGTCATAGGACCCTCTGTCGCGTCCACAACGAGCGCAACACCATCGACCATGCTCAGGATACGTTCCACCTCTCCTCCAAAGTCGGCATGTCCGGGAGTGTCCACAATGTTGATTAAATGGCCATTATAGTCGATGCTCGTGCATTTGGACAGAATTGTAATTCCGCGTTCGCGTTCGAGGTCATTTGAATCCATAAGTCGCGTAATAAACCCGTCTTCTATCTGGCTGTCCGCCGTCATGGTGGTCGAGGATGTCGAGGACGAGGTGGATGCACCCGAATACATGAGCTGCTCCGTCGCCGAGAGCTGTTTTATCGTGCCAGACTGGCGTAGCAGTTGGTCGACGAGGGTCGTTTTACCATGGTCAACTGTAAGAAAACGTTAGGAACATGGCCCTTTCACACCATTGCGGACTGAGCAAATGTTAAGTCACACACCATGGGCGATAATGGCGATATTCCGGATTCTTGAGATGGGTGAAAGCCCGCCGCTGTCGACTTGGTCGTTCAACACGTCGGCTTGTAGCTGCCGTGAGGAAGAGAAGAAGGAACGGCGCGGCACCAGAGACGCCCGACGCACGAGCGTACGTATGGACGAGGATATCATGGTGCTCGCTGTCAAGTCGCTCTGCCAAAAAATTCCGTGCAGCGGGGCGGCACCGTCGGCCCGCTGTAGTGCCACCCAACGCTCGGGCATGCATGGTGAGATGGCCGAGCGGTCTAAGGCGCCAGACTAAGGATCAGGGCATTCGATGCCCACTCACACTATCTGGTCCTCCGGGGCGCGAGTTCGAATCTCGCTCTCATCAAATTTTTTGGGCGATGGTTGTAGAAGATTTTCGCCTGCTGCACCGGAGATTCGGATTCAGAGACTCGCAGACGGTTTACTTTCAGATTTCAATGTTCAAGCTTGCAAGTGTCAAAGACTCTGAATCGGATGCGAAAAACATCGCCATGGATGATACCAACTTTTTATATAAAGCACATCTAAAGATCCAATATATTCTAATGAGTTATGAATTCAATTACAAAGGTATATTCTTTCAAATTTCACAACCTAAACAAAATCTCTACTTGCTCCTCTTGTAAATCTTGCTCAAGAAACTCCTGAACACCTCGCGCTTCAAGCCCCCTTCAACCTCCACGATCTCATCGATCTTTTGGTTGAGCGAGCCCACGACACGCTCCTCATATTCCGCATACACACCCCGGATGCCGAGCTCCTCAAAGAGCGCCTTGATCTTCTTCTCCTTCTCCGCGTCCTTGCGGCCGTAGTTTTCATCTAGGATCTGGCGCTGAGCAGGTGAGGCCAGCTTGATGGCGGTGTTGACGACCCAGGAGCACTTGTTGTCCACAATATCCGTACCAATCTTGCCGATCTGCTCGGGAGTACCGGAGAAATCGAGGAAGTCGTCTTGGATCTGAAAGTACTCGCCCAAGGGAAGAAGGATGGACAGAGCGACATCATACGGGCGGACAGTGCTCGGCGGGGAAGTGGGCACAGTGTACGTCTCGGGGATGCGCGATACGAGCAGCGCACAGGCAACGGGGAGGTAGAAGGAATAGTACGCCGTTTTGTAGATGACGATGAGACGGTGCCTGCATAAACCGCTTTAAACGAGTGTTTGAATACGGCACGCAGGACAAAGACACACCTCTCGAGCGAGAACTTGCTCAAGTCGACTTTATCTTCCGGGGCGGTGATAAGATCGACAAGCTGGCCCATCTCCGTCTGGTATGTCGTCTCATGGAAGACATCAAGCAGATCGGCGTAGTAGGACTCGGATCGGAAGTGGACTTTCAAGAGACGGTAGATCGCTGCCTCCAGCATGAACGAATCGTTTATAGCGACCATGCCGACTTCGGGGACGCGATACCAGCATGGCTGCCCCCGGCGGGTAATCGACGCGTCCATCATGTCATCCGCGACGAGGAAATAGGCTTGCAGCTACTCATCGCCCATTTAGATCGGGGACGACAGAAAGCACAGACAACCCACCAGCTCCACACACCAGCCAAGCACAGCGGCTTTGAAGTACTCCTCCTCCGTCAAAGTGCGCCCTTTGAGGATCTCCACGGTATCGACAACCGACATCCCGCGGTTGAGTTTGCCTCCTGGCACATTATAGTTGAGATTCTAAAGATAAGATGTGAGATCGCGCGCCATGGATCGATAGTACTGTCAGACATACGCTGCGATACCACTCGACCGCCTCGGCGGGCATACCCTCTCCGGCAAAATGCTCGATCAGCTCATCGCGAATCTTCTCAAACACTCCCTCGAACTTGACGCGACGCGCGGCTTTGACCTCTGCAGTAGACATGTTGGCAATGCAAGTCGGGTATAGTGGTATGTGGGAGGAAGAGGAAGAGACTGAGAAATCCCTTTGGTATCGGATTGGCAAGATATATCACGTCCTGCAGGCCGCGTCTGGCCGTTTCCGAACTCGAAATCTGGCCACTTTGGAAAAATAAATTCCGCCACGCGCGTAAGATTACATTTCATAGATAACCGCAAAGTATCATCGGAGGAGAGCATTTGGCGGCTGCGTATAACTCAAGAAGGAAGTTTTTGTCCGTTGGGAGTGCCAACCTGGTGCTTGGCAACTGCTTGGAGTTGGCTTGGGATTGGGCTCTCACATGCACACATATATATGGAGATTTCACGAATATTATCAATGATAAGTAGTATAAAGATTTGCGCTGCTGGCCTCGAACATACGGAAAAGGTCATTTTCACTTTACTTAAGCCCTTAGTTCCGTACTTAGAGCTCTTATCGAGCTTACTGAGCCATCTTATTTAATGCGGATCCCTCCCTAATAACAATCCGACATTTCGAATCTCTCCGTCCAACGAACTCAAACCCGGAAGCATGCCTCCAAATTGGTTGCTCATTGTACTTGCGTCCCAGGAAGAACCAAGGGGAAAGGGTATATATCGAAGGGTAAGTATAAACAGAGCTGTCTAGCCTGGGGCTAAATCTAAACCGCCACGCCGAGTCAATCAAGTGAGTCGCATCCTCTGATAACAGTGTCGAGAATCCAGCCATCCCTAAATCCGATCGCCCACACGAAGGAAGCTCAGCAAACTCGAAAACCGGCCTCCTAGTGTTTCCCTTTTCGTCCTTTAAACCCTTTGAACACTATACCATCATCCGAATCGTCATCGATGATCACAGGCTTCGCGACCTTTGCTTTCGACTTTGAGGAACGAGTTGGCCGTTTAGGCGATGGATCTCGCAGAGCAGTGGACCGCAAAGTAGATGATTCATCCGGGTCCACATCATCCTGCACTCGCTCTTCCTGCTCCTCTTCCTCAATTATCTGGACATCGTCGTCAGAATCCAAAAACAGCGCAGACGCGGGCTTCGCCGCCTGCTTGGATCGGGTTGCAGCCCTTTTCGGCGCAGCAGATCCTTTTCTAGACGGCGGTTGTCGGGATTGTCGTGGAACTGGCTGTGAGTTGAAGTCGTCGTCATCAAGGACGGCGCGACTTCGAGGTTGCGTTTCAAAGTCATCCTGAGAGTCCAATATAGCGCCATTTGCTTGGGACTGTGCTTGGCTGCCGAAGACGGTATTCTGCGTTTGATTAGGTGCTTGAGAATTGCCGTTTTTCCAATATGCTAGAACAAGATGGAGAACTATGTCAACGAAACAAATCAAGTAGAACAGATGCAAATTACCTGAGCCCATCCCATAATCATTTTCGTCACTAGGATAAACGTCCACTTTAGCTCGCGAAATACCAGTGCCTTTCTAAGAACCCGTGATAGTCATTAGAATTCTCTATCTCGTCTGGTAAACCAACAAAATACCTTTTTGAATTTCTTGAAATTCGGCTTTTCGCCCCAAGATTGATTAGGCGGAGGCTTTTGATGAAGATCCTTCCTATACAGATCCATTTCGACAATCGTCATAAAATTACCTCGCAAACCCGAATCATCTCCAAACTCAGCCAACACCCCCCACTCCTCTTCTGGCTCACGACGCGTCTCAATTTCGGGCTTGGATATCTTGAGCTGATTAAATTCCCGATCGAATACATCCTCGGCCTTCTTGCCGCGTTTCGTAGACGCTATCGCTTTCAGAAAAGCGGCGTCCGTGTCCGGTTTACCAGTGGGGGCGCCGTGATTCTTCGTGCTCGGCGCAAGGGTGGAAGGCGGTTTAGTGGTGGGTTGCGGGGCTGCAGCGTTATCCCTTTCGACAGCATTTACGTCTTCGATAGCTCGCCTTTTCGACGGCTGAGCGGCCGTGGGCGCGAGTGTAGGCTCAGCGTCTTCCATTTCTACATCCTCCGTCAAAGAATCCAATCTTCGCTTCTGGCCCCGTTGACTTTGAGGAATGGGAACGCCCGACTGTGTCCCTTCCTCTTCTTCCTCTTCCCGGAACGCAGCTGGGCTCGAGGCATCTATCCGTCGTAATGTTTGGGACAGTGCATCACTTTGCGTTTGGCTCGCTGGAGCCAAAGAGTCATACTCCGCTCCGTCCGGATGGCTTGCATCAAAAAGGGCTTTGAACTTCTTGAGAGGCGGTTCTTCTTCCATCGTTTCCGCGATGCCAGATAACATAGAGCTCGCTTGATCCTCTGGAGCCGCAACTCCCACTCTCCTTTTCAGCCTCGTAGAACGTGCAGGTGTTGGTGCCTTGATCAACTGGTAAGAAAAGACTAGGGAGCAGTGATACGTCATCGCGCACCGTAGAATTATAGCCCTCGCGCGGAGGTGTGGCATTTCTTGGCGGCAGATCGGGAACAGCATCAATGACAGAAGACGGATCGTCTAAGCCCGTTATAATAGGAGGGCCTGTGATAACACGCCGAATCAACTGGATGGACATGAATAAACTATATCGCTCATGAGCAGTGACGCATGCACGTACTCTTCGAGGCCGAGACGGAGCCGGCTCATCCACCTTTTCTGGTTCAACAGTCGGCGGTTGGGAAGGTTCACGCGAAACAGAGCGCGCTACACGACGAACAAGGCGAGTGGGTCGACGAGATGCCTGACTTTCCGATTCTTCCGGAGTGACCGAAGGCTCGTCCGATATAGAGTTGGGAACAACATCGGGAAGCGGCGACAAAATCCGAGCTATATGTATCTCATCAATATGCAAAGAGGTAAAATGCGGTAATATCGATAGACTTACATGGGCCTGCATTACTGTCTGCACCAGTGGAGACGGAAGGAAATAGCAAATCAATATTGGCTTCCAACACCGCTTGAACCACTTGCGATGGAGGTAGAATTTCAAGATTGAAGCTAGATGTCTCTAGATTAAACTGACGCCTCAAATAGAGGAAAGAATTTCTAACACACCTCTTAGCTTCAGAAATATATTCCCGCCAACTTTGTTCTCCCACCGCTGCCTGCATCAAGTCCGCATCCGCCACCACGACAACTTTCTTGCCCTCCTTCGCATGACCTCGAGTCAAAGTCCGGTGAAATTTCGTCACGCCTGAATGAATGTCAAAGTTCTCGAAAGCTCCTTCACCCCGTCGAATGGCCTCTTGGAGTTCGCTGTCCGATTCCCTGATCTTCTCACGCAAGCAAACGAATCGACATGAACTGAAGAAGTTCACTCTCGCTTCGTTCGCTTCCCAAACGCCGAACTTCTTATGTGAAGGCAGTAGGGAAGGCGAGAATGCCGGCCTATACTTGCTTTCGGATGGTAAAATGAAATGTTGCTCTAGGGAAATCCCATCCGCATCTTTGTCATTTACAGGGATGCTGCCGAGTCGTATAACCTCTTGTAACCATTCCGGTTTCACGAAACGCGTCAAGGAAAGCAGGGACGTGGCCGTTGACAGATT